AGAGAGAAATTAGACTTTGGGGTTCTCTTATGTAGATAAAAACATTGTTGCTATGTGTGTTCAATTTTTATTTTAAGCTTTTAGTGATGTTAAAGCTTTAATCATGTTTGCAGATATTTTTAAAATTACATCTTAAGACCTTGTATTATTAGAATAAATGTCCAGTTGTGCATTTATTATTATTATTCTTTTCATGGGAAAACATTGTAAGCTAGGTATTACATGTCAAATTGCCAGCTGTTATAAAGTTAATACTATTTGTAAATATTTATTTAAGCTAGTTTTGTGGGAGTATTAGTATTTAAATATTTGTAAGTGTTCATAGTTTGAATGCTAGCATAGGACAACAACAAAAAGCATTTATGTGTACATATCTGTGTATGTGTTTGTTACAAAGTTCAATACTAGAGCTATGAACAAACTTAACCCTTGTAGATTATCTTAGAATAAAAGACAACTTAAAACAAATACAACCAAATTTTGTACCATAACAAATTAAAAAAAGACATTAACCATCTGAATATAAGCCTGGAATTATTAATAAAATTAACCTCTTAAATATGTTGCTAGTTTCTTCAAATACAGCTGATTTAATGATAAAGAAATTAAAACTATTAAATTTTTGTAGAAGTTGGAGTTTCAAAATAAACTCAGTGGTTTAAAGAACTCAAAGAAAAAATCAAAAATATTTAATTTCTTGAGTTTGCAAAAGAAAAGTGTTGAATGTATGTTTTGTTTATAGTTTCACCTAATAGTAAAGTTTTTGTTGCACATGTATTTGAAGTGCATCAGTTATTACGTAGGTTATACAAATACAAAATGGTATACAATGGCATCTCACTAAAATAAGAAAAAGTTTTATTTATATTTTATAGTCCAGAGACAGATTGTATTCTGGGTACTGGGTGAAGTGTTGCTCTCAAAGAATCTTCTTATACAGTAATAAAGGGGTCAACCATGAAAATGTAATGCTGAAAAATATTAGACTCTAATGCTTGCTATTGGTGCACATGATGCTTTTAATATCTTGAATAAATCATTTCCGTTCTTGGTTTGTTTGTTTGTTTTTTTCCCCTGGCTGATGTCGACAAGTGTTTTCAACTATCTTAAATGCTAGTCCCACTCAACCTTTTATGCTGAAAATTTCTGTAGTAAAACTTGTGCCTTGCATATATTTTGTAAGGAATGGTTTCTTTTTTTCATTAATAGCAGTTTTTATTATTTATGACACAGTTTTATTATAGAATTATTATATGCAGGTCTCAAAATATCAGATTTCTTCCACATTTAATTGCATCATGCTGATGAGCAGTTCATTCTATGTTTGATTCAGTAACAAAAATTGATAAAAATATTAATTAACTGTTTTTTTCTAAAGATTGCTCTTTTTCTGGCCATTAAAGGTCAATATGGCTAGCCTTTATGATCACAGAAATGAATGCTTCTCAACTTTATTATTGAAAATGCTCAGTTTTCAAGCAAGTAATGAAGGCAGTGATGTGTTTCACTCACATCATTGATTTCAAGGTTGGAACTTACCATTGTGTATACCATGTTGGATATATATTAAGTTTCTTTTATCGTTAAAATAAGTTTTTGTGTGTTTATTCTCTTACTGGAACTGTTGAGAAATTGGAAAGAAAATTACATTTATTCAACGAGGAATTGTTGGATATGACAGTATAGATTAAACTGCTTAGAAGTACACATCCACAAATGAGGCACATCTTATAATAACCAGTGTTTATCTCCTGTTGTAGGATGAAACAAAATATTGATGGGAATTTAGATGAGAATGGTTCGTCCATCGGCATTTCAGTGTCGGCTGTCAATAATCAGCATCCGGGGTGCTCGAAGATTGATTATCTGCCTTCGGGCCACACGAGTTGGGTAGTTTTTACTCAGAACTAATTTTGCTACTGAGAAGAAATAATATTGGTGTAATGAATATTAGTTATTAACAAAAGACAGTTGAGAGAGGTGTGGCATGAAGTGAAGGAGGCAAAGTTTCAGGCATAGTCAATTTGCTTTTGAAAAGCAGAAGAACGATATCGACAAACTGTCAAGAAATGAACCTTTTCAGTGCCTGGCAGGATCCACATGCTGTGGCTGGGATCCATAAATCCAATGCCGAGAATGTTGATGTGGAGATAAATGGGAGTACCCCGAAAAAAAAACCACTTCCACTGGGCAAGACCAAATGAGAAGAAGAAATAGATTATGAGAGCTGCTTGGTGGGATGGTTGAGAATCTGTAAGAAAGCTTAGAAAAGGATAGTTATGCATATAAACATACAACTGTTCTATTTAAAGTAGATTGTTATTATCATGGATAAGATTATAGGGAGATAAATATTCCTCCATGAACATTGGGTGGTGGTGATATTGGGGAAAAGTGAGGTGAGTGTATTTTTATTTGTTGATTTTTTATAATAGTTAGTGGCAAGTTTCATAATTCTCTTTTTCATTGAGGGGAGTTTTATGATTTTTCTCCCCATAAAATGTGGGTGTATAGAAGGAAAGGTGGTGTGCTAAGCGGGAATCCCAATTTTGTAAGTTTTGTAATGCTGTTAGCTGTTGATTTTTCATGTTACAGGTTACCATGAATCTTTATTCTATAATTGGTCTGATGAATACTTTATGTAAAGAATCATAGATGTCTTACATCCGTAAATTTGGTGACTTGTTTCTCTGAGGTGTGCTATTCTCATTAGTAGTTTTTGTGATTTAATGTGGGAGTGCCAGGTAAGATTATTGTTTAAAGTCATACCTAGAAATGTAACTGTTTTTGAGAGGGGATGGTAGAGCCATATATAGTGAGCTTTATGTTTTTTAATCTTTTATATTTTTTAATTAGGCTTCTTTGGAATATAATAGCTTGTATTTTTGTTAGGTTAAGTATTATATGCCATTTATTGCACCATGAGATAATTTTGTTTAATAGTTTTTGTAATTTCTTAGCTGCAAATGTCAGGTCTCTAGAAGTGATCCACATTGCGTTATCATCCACATACTGTCATGGGAGTGTAAGGGGAGTTTCTGGTTTAGGAAGGTCGTTAACGAATAAGTTGTATAGGAGAAGGACAAGGACTAAATCTTGAGGTACTCCAACATTAAAGATGAATGGTTGAAATCTAGTGTTATTAATTTTTACTTTGGCTGTTCAATTTTCAAGAAAACTGACTGTCCATTTGGTATAAATAATGGGGATTTTATTCTTTATCAGTATATATTTAAGGCCATCGAGCCATTCAGTGTCAAGCAATATTTTGTACACATAGGAAAGTTGCTACTGTGGCTTGGTGTTTGTTAAAAGTCTATTAAAGGTAGATTCTATTTACCTAACGAGGTGATCAGTTGTTTTACTGATCTTTCTTCCGGCATTATGAATTTCTGATAGTAAGTTGTTGGTCTATAATAATCTAGTGGAAATTATTTTTCTATAAGTTTTCCTATACAATTTGATAATCTTATTGTTCTGAATTCATTAGTACTTAGAGTTATTTACAAGTTTTGGAGAGGTATCTTGAGAAAAGAGATAGGTTAAATTAGTTTTTTAAATGTTCTAGTAGGCTAGGAAAGGCATGTTTAAGAACCATGTTGGGTTCACCCGGGGTGCTGTTTTTAGAGTTTGTAGGTGTATTTTAATCTCTGGTATGGTAATTGGGGTTGGAATGTTTTGTGCCGATATGTTTGTAGTATTGGTTGGGATGCTAATGAGAAAAGTGGATGAAAAGAAGTTTTGATTGTTTTTTATGAAATCATTAATTTTTAAAAAGTGGTTTTGATCTCGATTGATGTTGTTAGGTGTGATGAAAATGTCAGAGAAATAATTGGCAAATAGGTTGGCATTTTGACTATCTGTGGAAGTTGTTGTTGTGTTTTTGTAGTTGATACTCCAGAAATCTTTAGATTCTTGACATGTTTTTGAATGTTTTCCAGAATAATGCCGTTGCAAGTCATCTAGCGTATTATAGAAATTACTCCAGTTCTCTTTTTGTTGAATTTTTATGAGTTTTCCGTTTAATTTTTTGCTTTGTTAATGAGAGGTTTTAGAGTTGGGTTTCTAGTTGTTATGAATTCTCTTCTTAGGCATCTAGTTACTATCAGGTTGTGAATTTCAGGTGTCAGGGTCCATGAATTTGGTGTTGCTTTGTATTTTTTGTATGGGATTTTTTCATTGATGGTTTCTGTAACAGTAGTAATTTCTGATTAATATAGTTCTAGTTCCTCCTTAGTGTTTGCTGAGATTTTAGGTTCGGGGAGTTTATTGTCAAGTGAGTTATTGAATTGGACCATGTTACTCTATTGTAATCTGGAATTTTTCAGTCTTTGTTTTCATTTTGGGGAGTTATCCTATTGCCGTGTTTAATCTGAAAAGATATAGGGTAGTGGTCACCACCAATATTTTCATGTGCTTTGAAGTTGTTTACTATGTGTGTTAAGGTAGATGAGATGATGGCTAAATCTGTTATTGCTTTGTGAACCAGTATGGTGTGTGTGTGGGTTAATTACTGTTAGATTATGGGTATGTTTGAAGTATTTGATTTTTTTACCAGGGGTATTTATGATCTGACCATGAAAAACTGGGTGAGTGGCATTGAGTTTGCATATTATTATTATAACATTGTTGTAGGTCTGTATTATTGATTGTCGGAAGTTTAAATCTGCAATTGATTGTGACGACATGTAAATTTCAAAAAGGGTGATTGTAGGTAGTGAGAGTTTTTTAACTTGACATAAAATTTGTTTATGGTGTGTTGGTATGCTGTGATCAAGTATGGATATGTCTGAATAGTTTTTATATAATAGGGCTATGCCCTGGGAGTGAGAATTTTTAAGAATAGAATATATTTTGTAGTTTGGGAGGTGAAAGTTGTTGTTATAATCTTGATTATCGATGCTTTAATTTGATTGGCTAATTCTAGTAATATATATACTTTTTGTAATATAAACCACCTTGAATGTATACATGGAGAACAGTAAAAGAATAAGACTTACCTTGTTGGAATATCACCATTTCCCTGCTCCATTTTTTCCAATAGCAACTCCAGTATGAGACCTTGGATGTGGAGGTGTCAGTGGGCTAAGTGACAAGTGTTGTTCAGGAAATTGGTGAGGTTGTCTTTAATGGTGGTGGCTGCCATGATGGTTTCGATGACGAAGGCTACGAGTCCAGTGAGGTGTAGAACGTGCCAGTTGGTTGTGTTCCAGTGTGTTTATTTTGCTGGGGCTGGTCGGCGTATAATATGGCAGGTTGGCTGGTTACAGCTCTGACATAAGATGTGATAGATCTGGCTTGATGTGATGATTGTTGTTGAGGTCGAAGTCTTCCTTGCTGGCATTGTGAGAGAAACAGAACTTGTCTATGTAGATCCTGTGTGGTGTTGTTAAGGTTTGGGTCTTGATACTGGCAACTAGCTGGAATTTTGGGCAGCCATGGTAACAAGCAGCATACTGTCCACCACAGTTGCTGTATGTTGTGTCTGTTGTTTGTTTTGGACAGTTAGTGACCCGATGTTCTCTAGCACACCTGATGCAATGGGCTTTGGCAATACAGACAGATCTGGTGTGACCAAAGCGTTGGCAATTGTAACACTGGAGAATAGGTGGCCTCATGTGCATGGATTCTTCTATTTTGAAGCAGCTGTACAACAAGGTGATTCTGTCTTGCATGATTTTGGTGGCCTGTTCAGTGTTAGTTAGTGTAAGGTGTATGAGTGGTGTGCTTTTATTTGTGCGCGTTGATTTGATCATGTTGAAATGTGCATACTGGAGATTTTGTAGGCATAGCTCTTTTTCAATTTCTTGGTCGGTTATGTCCAGGAGGATTCCTCAAATGACAACTGGCTTTTTTGGTGTGTTGTCAGTGGGAACATGTGGCTTGATTGGGCAACCCTCAAAAGCTTCAGTGGGCCATAGTTTCAAAAAGTGGCAGTAATCCCTTGGGGTTGAGCACTTGATGACTATTCCCCCACTAGGCAGTCAATGGACATTTGTAAAGTTTATGTCAGGGAATAGAGCACGAATTTTGCTGCAACTTGAGGTTTTCTGATAGTTGGAATGCCCTCTATGACTATTGCTGGTGGCATATTAGTGGAAGGTCCTGGCATTGGTGTGGATGTGTCTGTCATTGGCCACTTTTGAGTAATTTGCTGGCATGGAGTTTGGTTTGGGAGTTGTTTTCCTCCTTTTATGTGATATAGAAGTGGAAATTGAATCAATGATAATGGTAGAGAGAGAGGTGTCAGAAGAGTTTGGTTTGTTGTTGTGGTTGTCATCAGTAGCCAGAAACACTTCCATATTGAATCAGTCATATAGGTTATCTTTTTTCATTTGTTTGTTATAAGTTATTAATAATCCATCATGAAAGTATTAATGAAATACAAGGTGGAGTCCGGAAAATTATTAATTTTAGGTCAGAAATTGCAGTTGTTGTGAGTATACTGATATTCTTTGAGCATTTTCTCATAACAGCTACATGAAATTAAAACAAATGTCAGTCATATGGTTGTACCCATAAGAGATCAAGCAATTTTAGGATTTCTGTTTTGAGTTTTTCATGTTCCATAAAACCTCAAAATTTTGAAAGAGTTGAACAAGATTGTTAAAAGGTTGAACTGTATGTATATTATAAGGTGAGTATTAACAGGTTGGACTATTTCTTGTTGTCCTTTTTGATTAAATTTATTGTTACTTGCATTGAATGAAAGATGTAAATGTATTGAATTTGGCCTTTCATTAATTACTGTAATGAATGCCATACATATTTCTTACATTTCAATTAGTATATATGGACATCTTAAGTGACCTTTTAAGTCATTTCTGGTTTAAAGTTATTATTTCTATTTGAGAGGTACATAGAAAGAAATTATATGTAGATCACAATACATATAATGCCTTATCAGCTTTTGCCCATTAAAGTGTGTCAGTCAATCCCACTATTTGTTGGTAAAAGAGTTGCTCAAGATTTGGCATTGGGTGCTGCTGGCCGGTTACCTTCCATCTGGTCAGTGGTTCAAAATTATGGACAGCATCAGATAGCCCTAGTAGCTTTGCCATAAGCAAAACATACTTATCAGCTTCTCCTGTATGAGGTTACGTTTAGAGTTGTTTGAAATAGAAATAACTGACTGATTTAATAAACAATATATGAAATAATAAAACTGGTAAAGTCAAAGTGTGTGAAAATTGCTTTAATTACTTACCTCATTAATTTATTGTCAGCTTCTAGTGTTTATGTAATGCATCTATTTACATAATCACTATAGTGTTTTCTGAAAGTTTGTAAAGAATCTGCACAGAATAAGAGTACACTGACTTCTGTTCTAACACATTACCTTCATTTTTATATTACTCACTTTTCTTAAAAACGAACAGTAATTAAATAAACATAGCAGTTTTGCTGTAACTTTTTGGCTAGCAATATAGAAATTCAATAATATTTTCTTTAAAAATAAAGTGACTAACTGCAAATAAAATAATTATAATTAAAGCAGTTTGATTTCTGTAATATTCACAATCTGTGAAAATGGAATATGTGTAATATTAGATTTTGAAGACATTATGAATTTTGTATGGTAAGTGTATTTACAGTGATGTCAACAAACTTATTTAGAGAGAGATTGCATGTATATTTCCTGTTTCTTTAAAACAAATTGACTTGTGTAATATACACAATCTATAAGAAATAGAATATGGCTAATATTATACTTTCAAAACAATATGAATTTTACACTATAAGTTTAATTACAGTGATGTCAACAAAACTTATTGAAAGAGAGAAATAAATTTTACCTGAATATTTATGCTGTTTTTTTTCTAAGACTAACACTGCAAATTTACAAAACAAAAAGATTTAATATTGGTTGGTGCTATTTTTAACTGATAAGTATGTAAGGAAATATCTTTTATAATTGTGCTGATTTTTTTGGCTACTGCAATACTTGAATGTTTTCTTTTGGAATCTAAGAATTTTCCTGTTTATGAATTGCCATCAGAATGCTGTTCAGGACTCTTACCTAGTCATAAACTATGCTTTTGCTGAGTATATCTGTACTTCAAGGTGGACAAACAGCAAATAAAGTCCATCTTGTTTTTTTTTAGTAATTCAAGCTATGATTTTGTTGTTTGGGCAGTATATTAACTGTTTTAGTTTAATGTTTTTGTGATAGCCAATACTTATTACACTTGCTTAAATTTTGACTCTTTATCAGTGGTGAAATGTTTTGGTTAAAATGGGTATATATATTTGTTGACTAATTTTATTTCATAGCAGCAGTAAGTTAGTATATATATATATATATATATATATATATATATATTACTATATTATTACGTAGTACCTAACCTAACCTTTCGTTTTTATTTAACGTATAACTACTTGTTTTTAGGGTTAGGTTAGTTTAGGTTT